TATATATATTTATATAGCTGTATAAATATGTATATATATATACATATAAATATATTTACGTAAAATATACCAGCACAAACATTTTTCTCACAAAACATTATATTCATTCAAAACATTAAACAGGAGAATCCGCACAAGAAACCTTAGATTTATGGTGTACCTATACCGCAGCTGTGCACAGAAAAACTATCGGTTCCTCCTATCCATGGGTACGTTCTGGAACTATTTCAAATGTAGGTTAACTAGATATATGTAATTGAAGGCTTAATATGCACTTTGTGAGAACTACTATATATATCACATTGGCGCTGAGCTCTGTACTATTTATTTCGCAGGTGGCATCGACGTTATGTCCAAGAGACTGAAGTATACCCAACCAGACGTTAAAAAAACTAAGTCAAGAGCAGGGGTGGTTCTACGGTTCTTTACTAAAGGCGTAGCTAATGCGCACATGCTGTATACAATTATGCAGCTACCCGAAGACTTATGAATTCAGGACTATTCATCCCGGGGTTTGGAAAAGAAGATGTATAGTAGGGGTGGTTCACTACGATAATTTATGTGGAAAGTATGTGCAAAATGGAGAACAGTGAACCATTTAAACTTACGTCCTACGGATAACAAACTTATGAATGCATGCATCAACAACAACAACGACAGTCAGCCTGGAACCCTTTCCAACTCTACAGCTCTAACTGCGAAACGCAAACACATATTTCCCAGACAGAGGAAGGAACAAAAGAGTTGGTACTTCAAAGATGACGCTGGTATCGCACTACGGACACAAGGTGTACATATTGCGGCACAAGCAAGAGATATGACTTTTGAAGAGTACAAGCAGTACACACCGTATCGTAGAAAGTATCGACGTCGAGTTGCTGCAAGTTTAGCTGAGGGAGCGAGACGTCCTGTACAGCGAAGGCCAATAATTGAATGTAAGGATAAGATGCGTTTCCATTACTGGCGTAAGGGTGGAACCAAGGGTTGGTACTGCCCTCGCTGCTAGGTGTGGTTGCACACAAATAAGTGTTTCCGTGAATGGCACTTTCTAAGCGCAAATTATACGTCCTCTGACAGGATGAGAGTGAAGAGTTTTGATTGGGTGGCAGGAAGCTATTTTGCCGGTGTTTGATCAAAATTGAAAATAAATAAAAAATAACATCTAGAATTCTATAGGTTCAATATTAAAATATTTAACTTCTGATAGATCTTATAGGTCTAGAATACCTCTCTTTGGAAATTTACATAATTCTCAAGCGGACAGTACGTTTTCTCTAAAGCGTGAAATCCTCGCCTAGAGATTTTACGGGGTTGAAACCCTAATTGTCTGTTATCAGCTTGTATATTGGCTGTATTCTACGGTTTATTTTATAGTATATATAGCGTCTATAATAATATACAACATACTCGAACGGTTTGAATTTCAAGGAGGGACTGGGATTGATCTCTCAAAGTATTAAAAGCTATATCTCTTTTCCTTCTGTCGTATATTAAATACAACGAAGAAATCCTTATTTGGAAGGATATACTGTAGGAAAAACAGTGCAATTTTTTAATATTCGCGAGAGAGACGGACTGGGGTCTCGGGAGTATAACATGTATACAATAGTTCAGACATACACACCAATATTGGGTAGTCAGTCACACACTCTCTGAATCAGCACGTCTATCGCAATGTCGCTAGAGCAATCACAAGGTATCCAGGCCCTCCTGGCAGCCGAAAAGGCGTCTACCGAGACTATCAATAAGGCACGCAAAAAGAAACAAATGCGCTTAAAACAAGCTCAGGAGGAGGCCGAGGCCGAGGTACAGCGATACAAACAAGAGCGAGAGCAACAATTTCAATCGTGGTCAGCCCAGGTAAGCTAAATAGTCAAACTGAATCAACTACGGTCGCTCTTTACCCGTGATACTTTTCTCTGCGCAATCACTAGAAGTGCTATCTCGCTCTCTCG